ACAAGAATACAACAAAAGTACCTATTTTAACAAAATACCTATCAGAAGATTAAAGAAGATACACACGACTAACTTTTTATATAATTACATGGGGATCAAGAGAAAAATTTAATGAGGCAACTGCATGGATCAAAATCTGACTAAGGGAACCCGGCACGAGGAGAAATTACTAAGAGGCGATTAAGCTGAGGTCAAATAAATGATTAAAGGAATTCACTGCCAAGCTGTTGGTTATGGACGAGGTGAAATGTTTAAGTCAACAATAACGGCTGGTTTTATAATAAAATATTTAGAAAAATATTCCATTGAATATTCTCTGCGTCTGTACTTTAGGTCAGATTATGGGTATGTCCCATATAAATAGAAAGGTAGAGAGAAGATGAGGGGCATGTAATATTCTATATGATAAGAACTCTCTTGAAAAGTTGACTCTCTAGTAAACTACAAACATTGTTGTTTATTCTACATTTACCACATCAGATCCAAGAAAGTATCCAATATTCCCATAGTCATTTGAAGCATCATTGTCAGAAAGAGGAATCATCCAACTCATTCAATATTGGGTGAATCATTCTTTCTATTTACATTTATTGACATTTATTGTATTTATTGCTTATCATTATTCTCACCCCATTAACAATTGTAACATTTAATGTGTATTGCATTAAATCTGTTTTTACATGGTCGCACGTTATCTGCACAAACCCATTTAGATCCAAGGTTATTATCTTTAACTAGTATTATCCCCCTGATCTTTTTACTTGATTAGTTTAACACAGAGTTTATACTTTTTGGTCAAACAACAATGATAGATACTATGTTTATCACATTTGCGGTCTTGGAACCAGCAGTATAGCTGCTGTTTCTGCCCTTTTTCGATATGCCACATGTGTATTTCCATGCAACTAGAGGCGGATCCAAGATTTGGAGGTTACGGTTGCCACAAATTTTGAAAATAGACTATTGCAACTGCTTCTACTCCATCTACCAAAGATTGATGTCTCATATTTCTTCTGTATGAGTTGAGGCAGTCATTAATTTGATTCATGGGTTTATGGCTGTTAATCCCTATGATAATAACTCCATGTGATTGCCAACTGCTTCACATTTAGTCTAAATTTAAAATATCCTTAATTAAGTAACAATATTTGTTTTATTAAGAATACAAGTAGAGAAAGATTAAATGTGTGATGTCCCTCATCGAATGAGACAAAGGAATTAAAGGAGCTGAAAAGACATAAAAGCACTGGGAGGAGCTTCGTGGAAACATACTTACCTGGACGGGTTCAATGGGCAATCAACAAGGCTTATGGCCTAGGCTAGTGACCTCCATTGCACTTTGGAGGGGTGCCCGCCGAAGGTTTACCCAAGTGGTCTAACCTACATCATAATTTGTGGTAGTGGGGGCCTGCGTTCGCGCGGCCCCTACCCAACTCTTAACCAAAAATATTGGGTAGCTTATTGTCACGTCCTTAGTCTCAAACTAAGTACACGTGCGGCACTTGATAACTTGCTCACGATCTTGCACAACTTGCTCACGTTCTAGTTTTTGGAAAATTATTTTACCTAAGTGTCAATCCTGCATTTGCTCTTTGGTTTCGTCAAGACCAACTCATTCAAAATGCACTTATGGCATCTGTTGATCCAACAATTGCCACTAATGTTGCAGCTGCTGATTCAACAAAAAAGCCTGGGATGCATTGCACACTACATATGCTAAAAAGTCCCAAACCAAAATTTTTAGTAGTCGCGATCGACTTGCGCGACTCACAAAAGACGCCCAACCAATCACTGAATATCTTCAAAATATTCGATCCATGGCTGACGAACTCTCTATTGCTGGTGCCCTTGTCACAAACTCTGAATTCATTGTTAAGATCCTGAATGGTCTAGGACCAGAGTTCCGTGAGATTTCTGGTGCAATTCGTGCTCGTGGCTCCACTATTACGTATGAAGAACTCTATGAGAAGCTTCTTGATCATGAGCTTTTCCTTAAACATGAAGAGTCAAAGAAAGCTCCTAGCCAGATTACTGCTGATGCTTCTAGAAACTCGAACAATCGCAACAATCGTCGCTGCAAAAATAACAATGGAAGCGACCAACAATGGCGATACAACAATCGCTTTAATTCACAAAATCAGGGGCGATCTTCGAACATCAACAACTCTAATGATGGTGTTCGCTGCTAGTTGTGAAACAAGCCAGGTCATGTTACAAGTACATGTAGATCCATATCTCACAATCATTTTGAGCCCAAAGCCAACTATGTTTCGGGATTGCACGCATCAGCAAATCCTTGGATTCTTGACTCTGGAGCATCTCACCACATAATTGATAATCCTCATAACTTGCAGGAATACAATGGCATGGAGCAGGTCTCTATGGGTGATGGTAACAAAATACCAATAACGCACACTGGTTTAACTCAATTACATACATCAAATAATGCTTTTAAACTCTCTAACACTCTCTGTGCTCCTAGCATTAAACGCAACTTACTCTCTATCTCTAAATTTTGTCAAGATAACCTAACCTCTATTGAATTCTTTCCGTTTCTTTTTTCTAGTGAAGGACCTGGAAACGCAGAATGTGTTGGTGCACGATCGGAGTAGAGATAGTCTCTATGAGTGGCCAACCTCACCTTCCATATCTTCTCCTAAAGCGCATTTGGCCTCCACCAACACATCCATTTTCACTTGGCATCGTCGATTGGGTCATCCACATGCAAGAGTTTTAAATTTTTGTTTTGAATAAATTCTGGCGAGACAAATTTTAGCTTGTTATTATTGTTCATCGAATAAGTCTCATCGCCATCCTTTTCAGAATCTTACTTTATCAAGCACGAAACCATTTCAAACATTATTTAGTGATTTATGGGGTCCATCACTGGTTTTATCGATTGACAAAAAATCATACTACTGCAATTTTTTTATCAATACACCAAAAATACTTGGCTATATACATTAAAAAATAAAAGTGAGGTTAAAGACCTTTTCAAAAATTATCAAGCATTGATGGATCGTCGTTTCAATACAAAAATTCTTTCTATCTAAACAGATGCTGGCGGCGAATATAAAAGTTTTGATCCATACCTAAGTTCTCAGGGCATTGAACATCATTTATCTCCCCCATACGCCCCCCCCCCCCCCAAGGAGTCGTTGTTGCCGAAAGACGTCACAAATATAGTATTGAAATGGCAAGAGCTTTACTTCATGAAGCTACGTTTCCACAGACTCTTTGGTCTTTTGCTGGTCAACATGCGATTTATCTTATAAATCGCTTGCCAACCTCACTTTTACAAAATAAATCACCTTTTCAAATATTGTTTGGTAATGATCCAGATTATAATTCTTTAAAAAATTTCGGGTGTCTCTATTATCCCTGGCTCAATCCCTATTCAAAAACTAAATTAGAGCCATAGTCAACACCTTGTGTTTATTTAGGTTATTCTTTAAATTATTATTGTCATCAATGTTTTGATAGGAAATCTTCCAAAAAATTTTTATCTCGAGATGTAAAAAAATTTTCTTTTCAGAATATCTTTTCAAATATTTTCTTAAATTTTAAACTCTTGTGTGGGAAAACATAACTGAAACTAACCCAACAAAATCTCTTGGTTTTTCTCCTCCTATAATAAGTGAATTACCCATCCATATACTTATCCCAAATACAAAAACCGGCACTCACAAAGACACTGTGTCCTCTGCCTGCACTCCAACAGAATCGGGAACTACAGGTACGCCTTCTACTTCTCCTCTTACAAATTCTATTGTTCATCCTGATCTTAATGATACCCAATCTTATCCCCCATTGCCATCCACAGTAGTTATCCCAAGAAATTCAAATGTATCATCTCCTCCACAATCATTATGTACATTATCACCACCCACTTCCTCAACACCTATATATATATACTCAACAACCATTCACCTCAGTCCCACAACCTCAATCACCATCTTTTCCAATTGTATATAGTCGCAGAACGACCAAAATGACATTTACTAGCCAAACCACTGTTTCTTGTACCACTGCCTCAACTCTCCAACCCTCACAACCTTCCCTCGAACCCCTTTCAGTCACAGAACTACAACAACCTTCTCTCCCTCCTCCAAATCGTGTTGTGACTCGTTCACAGAAAAACACTCACAAACCGAAAATAATCCTTGACTTCATGGCTCACTTATCCCCCACCATCATCCCTACCAGTTTTAAACAAGCTAACAAACACCAAAGTGGCAGCGAGCAATGAAAAGTGAATTTGATGCATTATTGAATAATCAGACATGGAAATTGGTACCACATGACTCCACCGAAAAAATTGTTTCTTGCAAGTGGTTATTCATGCTAAAGAGAAAAGCTGATGGGAAAAGCAGTCGCTACAAGGCTCATATTGTTGCAAAGAGGTTTACACAACGCCCTAGAATTGACTTTAACACTTCTTTTAGTCCGATTGTCAAACCGACTACTGTGAGCTTGGTGCTTTCGATTGCTATCCACCAGAATCGGCCCATACGTCAACTTGATGTCAACAACACGTTCTTACAATGTCACCTAGAAGAAGAAGTCTACATGGTCCAACCTCCGGGTTTTGAAGACGAGTAGTTCCCCTCACATATATGTCGCCTAAAGAAAGCTATATACGGACTCAAGCAAGCTTCTGGGGCCTGGTACAATGAACTCAAGACGTTCCTTCTCTATTTGGGATTTGTCAAGTCTGAATCTGATGCATCGCTTTTCATTCGCAAAGTGTCGAACAACGTGTTGTATGTGTTGGTTTATATCGATGATATTATCATCATCGGGAGCCATAACTCATATGTAAATCAGGCTATCTATTGTATTGCTGGCCATTTTTCCAATAAGGATCTTGGAAACCTTAACTTTTTTCTCGGAGTCGAGTTGCTTCGTGTTGCAGATGGAATTACTCTATCACAATCCAATTACATCAGTGAAATCCTCTCTGAAGAAAATATAAAGACTGCAATTCCGCAAAAACTCCAATGAGTTCCAGTGAAGTGCTTCAACAAAATGATGGAGTGGAACCAACTGGTGCCACTTGCTACAAGAGAGTTCTTGGAAAACTACAGTACTTGTCATTCACTCATTCAGACATAAGTTTCTCTATGAACAAATTGTCTCAATTTATGCACTCCCCATCTGAAGTACACTGGAAAGCACTCAAACAAGTACTCAGGTATCTTCAAGGAACAATGCAGTTTTTTCTTCGCATTCAAATAGATAATGATTTTAAGCTACACATGTATTCTGATGCGGATTGGGCTGTAGATGCGAGTGATCGAGCCTCCACTACTGGTTACATACCGTTTTTTGGCAAAAATCTTCTGAGTTGGTCACAGAGGAAACAAAGAATAGTTGCTCGCTCATCAACCGAAGCAGAGTATCGAGCGATTTCAAGTGCACTTGCTGAAAGAAATTGGGTGACAATCTGCTAAATGAACTACATGTTTCACTTCCACAAGCACCAACCATTTACTGTGACAATGTTGGTGCAACTTATTTTGCTAAAATATAGCCTTCCATAGCCGCATGAAACACATTGTGGTGGACTTTCACTTTGTTCACAAGCAAGTCCAACAGAATCAAGTTCGCATTGTTCATTCATATTGCAGAAAATCCAGTCTGTGACAATGTTGGTGCAACTTATTTGTGCGAAAATCCAGTCTTCCATAGCCGCATGAAACACATTGCGATGGACTTTCACTTTGTTCGTAAGCAAGTCCAACATAATCAAGTTCACATTGTTCATATTCATACTGCAGATCAGCTCACGGATACTCTCACCAAAGCACTACCAAAAGCCAGCCTTTGACAGACACTTATTCAAGCTAGGCGTAGCTACACACTGCCTAACTTGAGGGGGGCGTATTAGAGCATAAGTTAACCACCAACTATTTTACTACTTTGACCAATTCTTTAGCTAGTAGTTAGGATTTTGTTTATATATGGATACAACAATAAGTATCTTTGAACAAAGTACTATCAAAATAACAAATAAGATACTCACTACTGACTCCTTATGATCGTCAATTGCTTCACATTTAGTATAAATCTAAAACAACTTTAATTAAGTAACAATATTTATTTCATTAAGAATATAAATGGAGAAAGCTTAAATGCGTGATGTCCCTAATCATCTGATGCAAAGGGAAAGCAAAAGCTAGAGGAATATAAAACCATAACAAGGAGCTTCAAGGAAACATACTTACTTGGACGGGGTCAATGGGTGATCAGCAAGGCCCATGGACGGGGTCAATGGGTGATCAGCAAGGCCCATGGCCTGGGCCGGTAACTTTCATTGCACTTTGGAGGGGTGCCTGCCTAAAGTCGGCCCAAGTGGTTGAGCTTACGTCATAATTTGTGGCACTGGGGGCTTGCGTTCGCGCAACCCCTACCCAACTCTTAACCAAAAATATTGGGTAGCTTATTTTCAAGTCCTTAGTCTCAAACTAAGTACACGTGCGGCACTTGACAACTTGCTCACGATCTTGCACAACTTGCTCAAGTTCCAGTTTTTGGAAAATTATTTTATAGTTACATGATTTGAGTGTAAGCCCAAACTTCTTGTTAGATATAAAACGTTACTTAAGCACAATGCAAAACTCACGCAGCCACGCAGTGAGCACAAAGCGAACTATTCTTTCGCCTTTTACTAAAGAATACCGTGCACGCTGCATTTAGTGGAATACGCCTATTTTTGGAGGGGTTCTCTTCATTAGAGTTCCCCCTACAATTCTAGTTTTAATCTTTGATCTTTAATTTAATAGGGATATAATTTGAATTAATTGTGAGACTTTGTGGGTTATTCTATGTCGATCTTTTTGAATGAAAATCATTAATATATTACTGCAGTCGGAGTAACTTAATACTCAATTCCTTGACAAAAATATGAGCTTACTGATATGAATATGTTTTGAGCAGAAAAATAAAACGGAATAAGTTTCAGATTATCCAGTGGAATGCACATTATATTCCTTAATCACACTCTGTTTTTTGTATGTATAAAACACCCTTAATCCAGTACAGTACCAATCATTTGACTTTTTCACTGAAGGCGGATCACATAAAGAGTATGCCATTTTACGAAAAAATGCTAGAGTTTTATTACTTTTCTTGTATTTGTTTAACAGTAGGAAAGTATACAGAAGCAACAAGAGTTAAAAAAGCCATAATTTTATGTATTACTATAATACAATCTTACAAAAAGTTTTCTTTCAAAGTTAACTTCAGCCTGTCCAAAAAAAAAACATATTAATCTCCACATAATTTTATTCTGCCCGTTTTCATATCTTGGTGTGTTATATTTAATTAAAGGGGAGTGGGCGATGTGTATAGGGGAGTGGGCGATGTGCACAAATAGCCACTAACAGCTCATGTCTTTATTTTAACGCCAGTGTTTTAAATGTCTTTAGTCTTTAGCCACTGGTTTAATAAATTTTAACTGCCCGGACGATAATACCCTTCTGCTCATGTCCTTAACTTCAGGACTCGGGACTACATGTCCTTAACTTTTGAACTTGAAACTCTAAGTTCAGGACTTCAAGACTACATGTCCTTAACTTTTTAACCTATAACTCTAAGTTCAGGACTTCAGGACTACATGTACTTAACTTTTGAACTTGGAACTCTAAGTTCAGGACTTCAAGGTTACATGTCCTTAACTTTTGAACTTGGAACTCAAACTTCAAGACCAAGCGTCCTTAACTTTTGAACTTGTAAGTCAAAGTTAAGGACCTATTGTCCTTAACTTTTGAACATGTAACTGTAAGTTAAGGACTGTCTGTCCTTAACTTTTGAACTTGTAAGTCGAAGTTAAGGACTTATTGTCCTTAACTTTTGAACTTGTAACTGTAAGTTAAGCACTGCTTGTCCTTAACTTTTGAATGTTAACTGTAAGTTAAGGACTGTCTGTCCTTAACTTTTGAACTTGAAAATCAAAGTTAAAAGATTTAAATTTGGGAGAGTCTACGACATTATTCTTTGGCTATGAATTGCAATCATTATTTTTGTTTCTTTTATTTTGTGCTTTCCAACTGAACCATGCAAGGAGAGCAGAAGGTCTACACCCTACTTACAAAGTTCTGTTACTAACTTTTGAACCATGATTATTGAAAAGTTCTGTTAAAGAGCTTTTGTCTTTTAATGAATGCTTACAAGCGATGTGCATTAGAATGACTGTGTAGATAGGCTCCGCCACCTCAACATAATGCAACAGTTATGGAGAAGGTACGGAGAGAGAGAGAGAAGCAAGGGTTTGGGAAGAAAAGCAAGGGAAGAAAGGGTGAAAATATCTTTTCATATTAATTTTAATAGGGCAGTGGCTATTTGCTCAACATTAGAATTGATGGATAAAAAATAAATACCACCTTAAATAGTGGCTACCCCATGCCATTTCTACAGAAAGGAAAGCAAGGGGTTTATATGTTTGTACATAAAATTATTATATGGATAAGCATAGGAAAGCTCAAGTAATAATATGTCCCTCATTGGCTGGCAAAAAAAAAAAAAAACAAAGAGTTGGAGGGGTATAGAACTATGGCAAGGAGCTACGTTGAAACATACTTACCTGGATGGGGTCAATGAGCGATCAATAAGACTCATGGCCTAGGTTGGTGACCTTCAATGCACTTTGGAGGGGTGTCCGCCTAATGTCTACTCAAGTGGTCGAGCCTACGTCATAATTTGTGGCAGCGGGGCCCTGCGTTCGCGCGGCCCCTACCCAATTCTTAAACAATTTTTTTGTAGATTATTCACCTCCTGTTTTTGTATGGTTTCTTCTTATATACTTCATAGTCAGTTAACTAAATATGTGTGTGTTTTTATACTCCTTCAACTTAGAGCCAGTTTGCATTGGCTAAAAAAAGTAGCTTCTAAGTAAAGTACTTAAAAGCACTTTTTAAGTGCTTGAGCTGATTTTATAAATAAGCAGTTACGTGTTTGGATAAATGTGCTGGAGCTGAAAAAAAGCTATTGAAGTGTTTGGTAAACAAGTGTTAGTAAGCATTTTTCTATTAAAATTACTGAAATATCCTTAAAGCTGTTAAACTTATAAAGAAGCTTATTACTATAATATTTTATTTTAAATAATATAAATACATAATAATTAATATTTTAATTCACTTTTAATTTAAAAAACTAAAATTAGTATGAAGAAAGCAAACAAAAACTAATCCAATTTCGGTATGGAGAAATCAAACGACAATAATAATTATTCTTTCAAAGAAAATTAATAAAAAACAAAAAAATAGAAAGCAAACAAACGTTACCATCCGGAGAAATATGGAAAGAAAAAGGGTAAAATGAAAGAAAGTAGATGCTGCAATTTCTGGAGGAAGAAGAGAGCAGCAATTTCAAGTTTGGTACTGAGGGGTAATTTTGAGATTAAGAAAAATTATAAGGGATAAGAATGTAATATCCTTGGTCAAAGCAATATGGCTTTTAAGCCAATTTAAAAAAGTTGGGTTTACCCAACTTGTTAGTTTTGGCTTTTTAAAGCAAATTTTACCTTTTTTTTTAAAGCTATTTTTCTAGTTGCCAAACATTTCAAAAGTTAAAAAGGGCAACCAGCTTTTAAGCCCCTCCAAACAGACTCTTAATGTGGAATCTTGTAACCCAAGCCAAATCGTTCAGATTTTTTCAAAATC